ATTCACAGACCGGGGGTTGGGGACCCCTGGTCTAGATGGTTCTTTCATGGCTTTTAGTAGGGATTATTGAAATACTTTGATTTGGCTGTACTTCCTTTACAGTGTGATAGCTGCTTGATGACTCACCCGAGGCTACCAAACTCTGTCATGGACAGAGGCATGGAGAAGAACAAAGAATTCTTGAGCTATTCAGTGCCTTTTTCTGATGTTCATTAATACTGCTATAGAAAAAAGAAAGCAGCACTGGGGTTTCACAACACAAGATGGCAGCATAAAATGTTGCTCTTCCTGCAGAGGTATAAGAAAAAAGCAGAGTAAAGCACATTTAAGCATGTCTACAGAACTTGCTGGAATTTGTGGTTATCTTCTCCAGAGAATGAGTTTTTTTTTCCCCTCTTGTGACATTCAGTTATCAGCAGTGCCTCTTGGACCATAGCAGGCTGCCCAGAGAAAGCAACAGTGCTGTGACACTTAAAAGGACTAAGAAATATATTGTTTCAAAGAATCCACACAACATAACCTCTTCCTTACCTTCCTTACTCTTCCTTATTTGTTCATTCATTCCTTCGCACCCTTCTGGTTGTCCCAGCCCCTCCCCCAAATGGTAAGTCTCAGTAAGTTGTTCACTTAGAATGTAGATAAAGGTTTTGTCCTTTGCAGTGTTAGTAGTTAGATGTGTCCCCCTCCCCTTTTAGCCAGATTAAGCTGATAAGGAAATGTTTTATGTCAGTGGCCCCAACCTTTTGGGCACCAAGTTCCATGAAGAAAGGTTTTTCCATGGACTGCAGGGGGTGTGGCTTTGCATGCTGCCTGCATCCTACGGATGGGGCTTCACTTGTTTGAGTGGACCAGTTGCTGGCATACTGCAGACCAGTGCTGGTTTAGAGACCAGAGATTGGGGATCCCTGTTTTATGTCAATACTCCAATTTGACATCCTCATAATATATAAGGAGGAATATACATACAGTATCTGAGGGCTATCTTCCTTTCTGGACTTCACACCTCAGGCAACATCCTAATACATACATCCACCTCAGGATCAAAGCCCAGGACAGGAGCACCTCAATCTGCACATCTAAATATCAAAGCTCATTTGAAATTATATATACCTCTACTGGTAGATCTCTAATGATGTAGGCTACCTTCAACATTGTATGTGATCAAATGAATAAACTACTCTACATCCAGCAGCTGCCATTTGCGTTTATTCATGACCCAGGAAATCAGGCCAAAAAAATTCTTATAACAGCAGATTTCACATCTGAAGTTGTTATTACTTTTTATTCTCAGTGAAACAGTGCTGACTATGGGTGGTGTGAATAGTCCAATGGACTTTCCAGACTTTTGTGCTGCTTTTCTATACAGTTGCATTGTATTAATTCTCTTGACTGCTCCCTGAAACTGCTTTGTGAGATTGCTATGCTTCATTAAGGCCTATAATCCTCTTCTGTTTCTAAATCTACTATGGAAGAGGAGAAGGAATGTTTGAATATCCAGGTGAGACACTTTTATAATTGGACCTAAAAGATTAAGCTCCTACCCAACGGAGCAGCAAATAAAGACAACTGAAGTAAATACTGTAGGCCAATCAGAATATATGTGATTGTTAGATATATACAGTTACTGTATATATTTTTCATTTTTAAATATATATATTTTAAAATTTATTATATTGCGCCCGGTAAATACTATTTATTCCCAACTAGATTATGTGGCTCTCCTCTGTAAGACCAAAAAGTACTGCATACTAGCTCTACTTATTTATGTAGGAGATGACCAGGCTGAGCCCAAGGGAGGGGTCAAACACATCAACAGTCATGAGTCCTTGTGTGCCCACAAGAGATTTAAGTCTAACCCACCTTGAATTCCTTTCTTAACTTCCATTCATTTCCCTCGACCGCTAGTTCAGATTTTTGTAGAGAGCTTAAACTTGCAATAAATCTTTATACTCATTCGAACTGCCTGAATCTTCTGATTTCCCAGACACCTGACATTAATATCTTTAAAAAAATTTACATTGCCACCCCATTTGGACAATTGTGACTTGAGCAGTTTACAGTTAAGTATCAATCATGTCAATTTGGTACAATTTGTTTTTGATATGCTGCATCATTGATACATATGTGCCGATATTTCAAAGCTGGAAAAGAACTCTGAGAAACATTTTTCCCCCAGGATATTCACTGAGAAATTTTTAAATTTTTTAGAGTATTCTGGAAGGAAGGAAAGAAAAGAATTCCCTGTGGATTTTATTCTGCTAGTCGTTGCTGACCATAGGGAGCAGTGTTCGTGAGAATATTCTGGACTGAGCTAAAAAAGAGTTTACTGGAAATTTATGTAACTGTAAACATATTTTCTTTGCAGTAAATTCCCTTCTTAGTTTGCTATACAGCAGGGAGAAGTTTTATTCATTGTATTCATTTCAGTGAGTATAAATATAACTTCCCTTTTAAAAGCTGGAACCTACTATTTGCTGGCAGTATCATCTATCTTTATTCTGTTGTTTCTTTTCTCCCTTTCCAAATTCTGTCTTAATATAGACTCATTTTTTGCTCCTTGAAATGTAAGCTATGATGCACCTTAATGTAACTAGAACTAAAATTAAAGCGAGAGATCCTGGGCAAATGAAATCTAGTTTAGACCCCAAATTCACAATTAGCAAATGCTCCTTATTCATCAACACTGCCCATCTTAGCCATTATGGAAGTAAGGTAATGGAACTTCTTTTTATTGATTCTGGCGGGTAATTGAAGAAAAGTGTAATTGCTATCCTAAATTTAATCTTGTAGCATTCATCTGTTACCAGCCTTCTGTTCCAATGGCTTCCTGGAAACATTGGAGTGAACTTTTCAGCTCATTTCCAAACTCACCATCCTCCAAACACGTTACCCCCAGGTACCTTCAATCTACAGATATTTTTAATATATATATATATATATATATATATATATATATATATATATATATATATATATATATATATATATATGGAGATTTTTTTCTTAATTTAGTAGATTTGGACAGATGGCTGGTGAATAAAATCTTGCAATTTAGTGCAGATTACATACAGTATTTATTTGAAAGAATATTTGATAATACTTTAAGTGTTACCGTTTTATTTCTTTACTGGATGAAATCCATTCACGAAAATGGGATATATTTCTGTTGAAAAAGGTACTGATAAATGGTATTTATTTCAAGAACAGAATACAAGCTTTGGGGGGGGGTCTACATCGGATAATATAAAATGAAATGCTTAGAGCAAAAAGTAAGAGCCCAATATTCCACAAATGTATTATAGTTACAATACCAGTGCAAATGTATTTTAAGCAGAGAATCGTCTGAGTTAATCATTGGGTTTTTTTTTTTTTTGCCCACAGCAAAAAATGAGCAATGCTGTAAACCAGATCAAAAGAAAAATCTTCCCAATGAATCTTAATTCTTAAGCCAAACAGTGATTCAATACATGTGAAGTGAGCATTTCATAATACAATTTAGCACATATGGGGGTTTTTTGGCATCAATAATAGGTTCACTGATCATTGTAGACTTTGCCCACAAAACTGATATTGGAAACCTGTGAAATAATCACGGAAGGTTTCTTTCTTTGTACAAGTAGCTGACGATTAATTTTATAGAGCTCTGTTATTATGTGTGAATTCTTAAACTTGTGCTCCTTCGCTATTGCAATTGTTTGCTTTTCAGTTTATGCTGAATCCAGAGGTCTGAGAATCAGATTTTTATTTTTTAACCCTACATATTATTGATTCAACTTTCAGCTTCCATTTCCGTTTCTCATTCTCTTTAGGGGGATTATTTAGTGACTTGGAAATTGAATTAGTATTGGTGAATATAAACTAACACCTGATTATTTGCATGTTCCCTGAATAAAAACCAGGATATGCTGCTTATTGACCATATATTTTTCTCTATCACTAATTGACAAAGGCAGATATTATACTAAGGGATACTATTTTAGGGCTCTGAAAGAAATTAGTGGATTCTTTAAATGTAGCCTAATAAAATAACTGTATCATTTATAGCTAACAAAAATAAATAAATAAAATAAAATAAAATAAAAGCACTGAAAACTGTTATATGCATACATGGCTGCCATTCTCTTTTTACAGTATTGTCTGCTGTTTAGCAGCAGAGATCATTCATCTCCAGTTCTTCATGATCTGGTTAGTGGTAAATTAGTGGTAAATTCAGTTAGGAGCATTTGAAAGGAATTGCCAGCTTCTACTAAGTGTTCTCAGGTGGCCAAATTTACTAGTGCTTAATTTAGCTTTAGTTCAACACCCAGCATATTTTACAGGGTTGAACCATTTTCTTCCTGTTAGACAGTGTTTATTTATCAAAAGGGGAGCTAGAAATTTAGACGAGAGAAGCTATTTCACTTCTTTGGTGCTTGAATGGTGCTTTAGCTATGAGCTGATCAAGGGAGTAATGAGTGGGAAAATCCTGACAATTAAGAACAGGGTCATCTCATGGTGGACATTTTTCTGCGAAGTGAGGATATTGAGCTTGCTAACTTTATAATTGCATCTTATGGCTAGTTATGATGTGTTGGGATATCCCAAGTGTTTTACTTACTCTTCACAAATCCGTACTCTTCCTTATCAGACTACACAGAGATGGAAAGAATAAAGTGCTTGGAGCCCCAACCTTGTTCCAAATTGTATTAGTAAATATATACTAAAAAAACTGTTTCCTTCTCTTTTCCCCTTATTCAAAAACAAGATCCTCCATTTTAAAAGATATTCAGTCAAGATTTCTTGATGGGTAATACATTAAAGAGATAAAACTGTTTTTATATCTTTATATGTTTTATCTTCTGGATGATTAAGGACAATTTTTTATAAATTTTAATGAATAAAACAAGTATATTGTGAGGTTTATCAAAAGACAGGGTGTACATGGTGTATTTTCTGATATTATCAGAATAACTAGATAGAATTTATTGGGCTGATATAAAAAAAGAGAAAAAACACACAAATTTGGATTCAGAAATTCTATTTATTCTAATTTTTCTTATATTTTGGAATTTTCTTGAAGGGCATCCAAGATATTAAAAATATTCCTCTCTATTATTTTGATTCTGAATATTGTCCAGCAAGCTGTGCATCCATTCCACTTTATTTTGCTCTTTCTTATCCATTTTCTTTTTCTTGCCAGTCCATATTTTGCTATGATAAAACACATGAAAAATATAACAGCAATCCTAATGTTATGGAACATATACTTCAGTCAATACTGTGTAGCACATCAGAAAAGCTGTGTACAAAAACATGGCACAGAAGTAATGATGTAAGAAGGGAAAGAAAAGAAGTGACACTAAGGAAAAGAAGTGAAATTCTCATTTCTCTTGGTGTCTATCCTGGTGGAATAAACAGAAGAAACAACAAAGAATACAATGGGGAAATACTGTCATCTCCAACAACTTAACATTATTTTCAGTACCCAACAAAGTCAACCTGGAATTTGGCACGTACATATAGCAAATAGCTAAGATTGAGGCAGGCAGCAAAAGAGAAATATCATGTAAGGTGGCACCAGCAATTTGCTAAAGTTTCTACTCTGAAATTAGCAATTTCTCCACAGAACTTAGTTCTTGGAAGGAGTGGGAAGTAGGGTTAAGGGTTAGGAAGCATGAGAAATTCACCAGTCCTTTGTAGCATGCTCTTAGCCAATCTTTTTTTTTTAAAGTTTGCACAATAGTTTCAAAATGTGTATCTTCACTGTCCTGTTGTTTTTGTCATCGAATGGAGAGCTGTGAAACAGAAATAAATACTCAGTCATTAAAAAGACTAGATTGCAAATAGTTTTGTGTATTACCATCAAAAAACAAGTTTAGCATTAAACGTTGAATGTATTGTTGTCTTAATTATCCCCACATTCTTTTTTCAGTTTAACTTTTGTCACTCTCCAAAACCAATTAAGATTTCATCAAGCCACCCAAATGTTCACCTCTAATTGCACGGCAGTCCAAAAGAGAGATCTGATTCTAAGGCATGTATCTAATGAGAAATCCTCAAGCAAGGGATGATTTCTCTTTCAATGCATAAAATAGCTACCATATATTGCTAAAATATTTTGGCTTCCCTCTAAAGCAGAGATGTCACCAATTGCTGTTTTCCATGTGACACAGAAAAGCACGTCTTGCTTGACATCTTGCTTATAAGAAAGTAACTGCGTTCTGCCCATTTTTATACAGTACAGATTTGTTATTCAACATCCTGACAGTTTAGCTGATAAGCAAAAAATTAAATGATAGAAAATAACTTATGTTGAGGGCAACTATAGGATTACAAGAAACAATTTAGTAGAAATCCAGAAACAGGATGGCAATGTTTGCGTTTGATTCATTTCTAAGACAAAAGCATTTCTGATCTCTCGGTAACTATATCCAATTCATTTGTTGTTAAAAATTGCAAAGTATTGAGATACATATATAAGAATGATAAATACCACTGAATATAGTCCTATATGATTCATTGGATGATGGATACATATCTGAATATCGTTTTCATGCATTCAAAGCACTTCAGATCCTTGCTAGAATGGTCTGCTCTGATGTATTTTTAAATAGCTACTTTATCAATATAAATTGATTTAAGGGGGGAAAATTAAATAAATAACACCACCCTGGAAGTTAAATCCATAAATATGTTTCTGTACATCTTAAAGGGAAAGAGCCAACTTAAATTACATCAGTTCTTATAACTAGGCACCTACTGTCATCTATTTTTATTTTTTCCAAGTCAACATAATGTTGGAAAGAAATTTTGTATTTATGAGCTTGAGACTAATCTGTCTGTCCAATAGCAGGGCAAATTTCTGAAATTTTGACAGTATGGTGTCAGAGCTGGTGTATGGGAGAAGCCAGAAAGAAAGGTTGAATTTGAAAAGAGCCTAGAATTGGACAAGAGCTCTGGAGGGGAAAAATAATCCAGGTCTCCTCCACAAAATCCATGCAATTCTATGGGAGAGGTAATCATGTGACCCAGTATGTCTCTACTATTAAGGGACGAGAAGAAATTTCAGAAGCCAGGTTCTGCATGCTTTTCGTATTTTGGTTAATATATGATTCTTAACATGCTATGTAGGGAAATAAAGATATAGGTATGTCACAACAATGCAATCTTTGGTTCAATAGCATCTTTGCAGATGTTTACAGGATCTGTCTTTTATATCCTGTCATTCTCTTTTCTTTTTCAACGAATATCTTATTTCAGACTTTTGCCTGTGTTATAGTCAATTTATTTATACCAGGAACTTGTACCTACCAATTTCGGATTAGTCACAAGATGTTCTACTTTATTTATTCTATTATTACATTTATGTGCCATCAAATCTGATGGATTCACAGCAGCTTTGTTCCACCAATTCCATAACAGGATTTTTTAATATTTAATGACTTTTTTTATCCATTTTCTCACATAGCTGCTTTCTTCTCCTTCCTCATCTAATCCTAACAATGGTCCAAGGCATAAAAGGAAAAAGGGGAATATGTCCAGCATTTGTTTTGCTGGAGGATGGAGCCAATAGTTATAGGTTATAGTTGAAACCCTACTCAATAGGTTGAATGAAACTTAATTTCTATTAGATACTGTACAGTTAGTCCTTACTTAGTGACTGGTCTATCACTTCCATTTTCTATCTCATGACCTTTGTTTTGTCCCATCCTATTTTCACCTACCAACTCAAGTTCATACTCCTAATGAAGAAGACTGTAGCACACTACAGCTTAGACCACAGTATATACATTAGCCTGGGGAGTGTTGGTAGTTCAATATTGTAAACATAACCTTTTTTTTCAATAGTATATTAATTTTGAGCAATTTTGGACTAGAGGCAATCCTCATTTAGCAGCTGTTTCATTTAGCAATTGTTCACAGTAATGATAATTTTGAAAAAGTAACTTTTAAGCCAATCCTTGCATCAATGACTTTCACAAGTCTTTAAAGCAAAAGACAGCTGAAGATCATACACATAGTTTATGTGTATAGTTTCATTGAGTTGCTTATCCCAATTGTGGTAATTAAATGAGGATTATTTGTATATATCCCAGCAGCAGAAAACTACAGAAATCTAGATCTGTAAGTTTATAAGGTTACTGAAAATGCCAACAAAAGATATGCTCAGGTATAATAGTCACAATCTAATGATAATATTGAAACATTATATTGAAAAAGACTTTGTCATTGTGTTTAGTCATAGTGAATCTTAATTTGCAGATTCTCTGTGAGATTAGGCTGATCAGGCTGATCCATTCTGCCCATGGGACCTCAAGTGAGGTATTATTTATGTCCAAAGCTCCACTCTTTTTCTCTTTTTCTTTCAGAAATGAGTATAAGGAAAGCTCTTTAAGAGTACCTCTGATATGCTAGCCCAGTGGTTCTCAACCTTTCTAATGCCGTGACCCCATAATACAGTTCCCCATGTTGTGGTGACTCCCAAGTGGGTGTGGCCACCAATAAGAGGGAGTAGGTCAGCTAGGGAAAAGGGAAAAAATGGCGGACAACATGGTTTGGCGACCCCCATGAAATGATCATTCGACCCCAAATGGGGTCCCGACCCACAGGTTGAGAACCACTGTGCTAGCCTATCTGGATAGATGAGTGCTTGATTTGATAGCTCCCCATCTTTATGGTTTGTCATATCTGCGCTATACAAATTTATATATGCATCTCCTCGGATGTATGCTAAAAGATACACTGTACAATATAGTGAAAAACATCCAAAAGTATATCTTTAGCCAAAATTGAAATTTTACTAAGCTAAAGAAGTGGCAACCATAGAGCTAAAAAACAAAGGATTTTTTGCAAGCTTCTTTCAGAAATCTTTAAAAAATAATTTCCTGGAAAGGTTTATGAGAGAGCAAGCTGTTTTGGATATTCAAATGGTAAATAAAGGTAATGGTTTCCCCTATCCAGTCGTGTCTGACTCTAAGGGGTGGTGATCATCTCCGTTTCTTAGCTGAGGGAGCCAGTGTTGTCTGAAGACATTTCTGCCATCATGTAGCCAGCATGACGTCACATCACAGTGAAGAGCATGTAGGGAAACACAGAAGCCTATTTCCTTCCCACAAAGTGGTACCTATTTATCTCTTTGCATTTTCATGCTTTCGAACTGCTAGGTGAGCAGGAGCTGAGGCAAGTAACGGGAGCTTGCCCCATTGCACAGCGCTGGGGTCTCAAATCTGGGCTGTCAGCTCTCCAGCCGACAAGCTCAGAGTCTTTAACCACTGAGCCATTGCACCCCTCAAATTTAAATAAATAAATCAGTTAAGTATTTGATTATTCTATAGTGTTTCATCTGACTTTTTTTTTTTTTTTTTGCTAATGATTTTATTAACATCTAAAAAACCACAACCAACATCTTTGTACTTGGCTGGTTTATTAGTAGTTTTTCCTCTTTCGTAAGGAAGCCTGCCCTGTCTGACAGCTTTGATTTTACAACCTAGCAAGGGCATTTGCCTTCATGTTTATTTCCAAACCACATTATCTGCATCTTGCAAACAACCTAGACATGTTCAAAACACAATAGACTTTTTATAAAAGAATGATTACTGTGCTAGAAAGTTCATTATCCCCCCCCCCCAGGAACACATTTAGAAATCCCTTTTTACCAAAACTCAGAAACAAATTAAACTAAAAATGTCAAAAATTGAATTGGCAATCACTCAGCAACATAAACAAGTGCATAGATCTCGGTTTGCTTTCTTCCTCAAAAGGCTGACTGCAAGTGAATGCAACAATATCTATCTGCTTGTGTGGCTTTGAAAAGTATTCACACTCCTTTTTATGCGTTAGGGAAATGACATACCAGCTGTGCGTTTTACAATTGTTTCACTTCTATTGGATCCCTTTTTCATTGGAAATAAAAGCAGGGGAAAGCAAAGCAAGCACAAGTTGTCTCTGGAAAAGACACATCTTCCTTGTTGTGGGAGCCTAAGGGTTGCTTTTTTTTTTTTTTAAATCTAAGTTAACTAAGAAGAATGTGGACAACATATATAGGGTAGCATAGAAACTTGGATATCACCCGAACAAATGGACTTTTATTAAGTAAAATGGGTTTAAAACAGATTCACTTATTTTTACAAATGATTTATATCCCATAAGTACTAGCCTACTCTAACATTGTTCCTAATCACATTTCCCCAATGGGGAGCTAATCCTGGGCTTAGACTGAGACCCCATCAAACCTGTTGGTCCACCTGCCCCTCCTACCTCCTTTTCCCTGAGGTCCTTCTTCCTGCTACAATATAACCTGGCAGAAGTGTTGCCAATATTTGATTGGCTGTTCCATCACCCACCATTGTACAATGCAATCATATACTTCAATAAAGTTATATACCACTGGAAGATAAGCCATAAATAACGAATAAAAATGGCTTTCTCTTAGAGAGAAATGTGTGTGTGTGTGTGTGTGTGTGTGTGTGTGTGTGTGTAATTACAAAGTGAGCAATGGAGCATTTTGTAATTGTTTGTGTGTCAAGATTGAGATTACTGCTGCCAAGATGCTTGTGCAAAACAAATGAATCTGGATTTTTTGGGGGTGGGGTGGAGGGTAGGGATAATGACCTTGTATGAGCCCAGAAAAAGGGGGTAATTGGGTGAAAGAGTTTAAAAACCACTGTCTTAAACTGTTTGCCCATCATATATACTATCAATCTGTCATGCCTGGTGCCTTGCAGACATCTGAGGATTTCATAGGTGTGCTGGGAACTCTGGAAATCATAGCTCCAAAACTAGAAGAAGCCTGATTATTTATAGAGTTTATTATTTCTTGGATTTATATTTTCTTGTCCTGGAGCTCAAGGCAACAACAGTGTGTGTTGTGTCTTCATTATTTATTCACAACAACTCTGTGAGTGAGTGTCTGAGTAAGGAGTTAAGGTTATATCCAGGATCCTACCCAATGTAGCTCAATTTACTGGTTAAGGCCATACATACTAATAAATGGGAAGATCTTAAAAGAGGAAGAATGAAAAAAACCAACAACAATGGAGACAGAGAAGTACATAATCTTATTATCTTGCCTGATAACGTTTGATAGCATTATATGAAAATTGTAAATATTTAAAAATAAGTAGTCCTGTTGATTTCAATATTAACAAGTGAATAATGGGAGGTCAAAGATTGTGTCCTGTTTACAGTTTGATCTTACCCAGAATTTTTCAGAACTGGGTTGAAATACGTAAGTTTTAGTATGAGATCAGTGGTTTGTTTCAGGAAAAGGTAACCAATATTGTAATCTATCTACCTAATATTTACTTTATACTTTGGGGGTTGGAACGGGAAAAAAGATAGAGATTAGGTGTGAAAAAGCAAGGAAGCAAGCAAGGGAGTTTCTTACAGCGAATCCCCTTCTATCCTTGTTTCTGAAAAATCACTGAAAATCTTTGAAATTTATCCTTTCTTCTTAGGCCAGGACGTGGGCTCAAAATGGGATAACTACTTCAGGTTACGCCAGATTCCCTGGCCTTCCATTCCCCCAGAGGGTAATTCACCCACATGCAACCTAATAAAGATGAAATAATATTGAATAGATTTCGGTGAAATGTATATGATTTTTTTTTAAAGGAGGGGGTAGAAGCTGAGATGGACATTCTTTATTATAGAAGATACCTTACTTGAGGCAGAAACTAAGATCCATTTGTTGGTGGTGTGTATCAATTTGTTTTATTTTTTATCTGAAGTATTTGTAAGATTGTTATGTATTGTAAAGTTGAAAATAAAATTTTTTACAAAAAAAAAAAAGATCCATTTGTTCCCTGCATTCAATGGAAATTATTAAAGGGGAGGAAGGGAAAACAGATAATCATGAACAAATAGAGATATTTTGTTCACAACAAATAGCAGTTGCATCCAAATTATGGTAAGTCTGTCTCCATTAAGAATAAGAACAAAGAATAATCAGTAGGGGTCTGGTGACTTATATCTTCCTCTGAAAATTTCTACCGTAATTTGTACTTAGGTAGACATTACTATGGTGAGATAGATTACATTGCTAATATATAGTAAGAGGTTATTCTTGCTGATTCCTTGTAGATTTTAAAATCACTTCACTATCCCATGGTGACCTTCATCTAATGCTATTGAGTCCAAAGTTATTCACAGTATTATACCCTTCCTCTTTGTGGGGAAGAGAGTTTGGAGAGGTGCATCATATAATTGTCAGTCTTATAAAAAAAGTTTAGCTAAAGAAGGAGCTGCATTGGGTATGAGTTGAGAATAGTCCTAGTGACTATTTCTTCTGTTTCACTGCCAGGCAATCCTCCCATATCTGCAGCCAACATTGTGACACAAGGACATCCTGTGTCACTAAATTCTGCTCTGCTAAAAAGCCTTGGCCCTTACTAGAACAATTAAAGAAATCCTTGAAGAAGTCACAGCAACAAAGAATAACCAAGGATGGAGAAGAAATTCTAGAACAGACTTGCCTCCTGATTCCTAAATGCCAATAGCAGTGATGGGATTCAAATATGTGAACAACCGGTTCTCTGTGTGGATGCTGCTTCCGGAAGTCCATTCTGGGCCTGGGCAACAAAAAATTAGCTTCCGGTTCTGCCGAAGTGATGCGAACTGGCTGAATCCCACCACTGGCCAGTAGTAGTAGTAGCAATAATATTCAAAAGCAATTGTCAATTTTTGCTCTGTTTTCTAGCTCTAGGAGATGGACTGTTTCAAAAGACCATCCAGAAATTAAAGATATGTCTCAGCCAGGATTGTGTTATTTCATTTTCCGATCAGATTAGGAAGTATTTACAAGATAAATGTATTAAAATATAAAACCTAAACTAATCTCCTTTGAAGGATCTTGATTTAAAACATTTATATATTTTTTAAAATCCATAGCTGCAGTTAGTCGTGATTGCTTATGACTAGAGCCCAAAAGTGAAATTAGTTACTTGTAGCTAACTGGTTAATCGCTATCAAAGGCATGTATAAATAGTTTGTTATTAAAAAGGTTTACTCAGGTAAGTTAACTCTACTAGATATAGTAGGATTTACTTTTATATAAGAGTAAATATAATTATAGACAATTGAGTATAGCTGAATTTTGAGATCTCAGTTGAGAAAAAAATATCTCTAAATAAAACATTTCTTTCCAAGGCCGATCATTTTAATAATTATTTTGTATAAAAACTTCCAACAGTTTTATCACACAAATACAATGCATTCCAATAATCCAGATTGTTTCATTTAATTTATGGCCAGATGGATTGGGAAATTTATGTCTTAGCCACTCATGAGAACTCAACCTTTAATTATTTTCTTTTTGATATTCTGTTTTATCTCTTCAACTAACCATGCAATTCATGATTTATGCCCAGTGTAGGCATATGTTGTTTAGAAAAAAATGTCAGTTTATGAAGGTGGAAAAAGAGGAAAATGTTCTCCACTATACAGTATGTGTACAATGGAAGTGATCATTATGGACGGTGTGAAAATTGATTTATGTCTATTTAGAAGCATTAGAATATTAAACAATGAAGTTAGCTACTTCCTTTCAGTTTTACTGTTGGAGTCGAAAGTACTATAAAGAAAATGTTTAATTATTTTTTATTTGTTTATTTATTCATTTTGTAAGGCTGCCCATCTCAAATTCAGACTTGAAAATAATACTTAAAAACAAGGGGGAAAAAAACACAGCAAAATTATAAATAACATATATAGAAGCTGTGAAAAAAACCCAATAATTAGCAAAAGCAGAATATTGGCTCAGCCATACATCTAATGTAAACGTGTAATATTATAGGTCATGAGTTAGACCCCAACCCTCCTGACCCTCTGTAAGAGCCTAAAGACCTAGCACTTCCAGTTAGCTTAGGGCTCCAATGGTGGAGTGTCACAGTAGAGGCAGTTGATCAATTAACAATAGATCCCACCTCCCCTCCCACCAATCTGCTCTCACCCTTCCTGTCTTTTAATTGGGCCGTAGTGTTTAGATTTTGTATTAACTTATTTATGTTTTTAGTTTATATAGCAATGTATGGCTGTGAAAGTTGGACCATAAGAAAGGCTGAGCGCAAAAGAATTGAGGCCTTTGAACTGTGGTGCTGGAGAAGACTCCTGTGAGTCCCCTGGACTGCAAGGCGATCAAACTGGTCAGTCCTAGAGGAAATCAACCCTGACTGCTCTTTAGAAGGCCAGATCCTGAAGTTGAAACTCAAGTACTTTGGCCACTTAATGAGAAGAAAGGACTCACTGGAGAAGAGCCTAATGCTGGGAAAGATTGAGGGCAACAGAAGAACGGGACGACAGAGATGGGGTGGCTGGATGGAGCCATTGAAGCAGTAGGCGTGAGCTTAAATGGACTCCAGAAGATGATAGAGGACAGGAAGGCCTGGAAGAACGTTGTCCATGGGGTTGCGATGGGTTGGACACGACTTCACAACTAACAACAATAACAATCTTTTATGATTGTAAACTGCCCAGAGTTACCTTGAGGTAAGATGGGCGGCCTATAAATTTTATAAAATAGATGACAGACAGACAGGTGTTCTGCACAACCTTAATCATACTGGAATAAGCCTAACACACTTAATCTCTCTCTCTCTCTCTCTCTCTCTCTCTCTCTCTCTCTCTCTCTCTCTCTCTCTCACACACACACACACACACACACACACACACACACACACACACACAAACACACTATTTAATTATCAATGATTCAAAAATATCAAATGATTAATCTCAAAATTTGGACTGAGTATAATGACTTGTTGTTAGTTTTATTCTTTGTCTGAAATTTCAAACCTGAATCGAATACGGAGAAGTTTAACCCAATTTTGCTGGAGATCCCTCTAACTATAGTTGGCTAGGAGTGGACTGTATTCTTTTTAAAACTGACTTTACTTGATGACAAGATAAATGAGTTAGTGAGAATGCAGTGAGCCCCCTGTGTGCCATTTCTGATATACTAGAACTCCTGCTAACTTATGTTCAAATTCTATTTACTGTGCAATGGCTCACTGATAGGAAAATTGATGCTCAGCATGTGATTTGGTATTTTCTACAAAGTGCAATAAAGATTTAATTCATTTGTGAGCTTACAGACCTCAGCCTCACATTCACAATCATGACGATGTTCTGAAAACACAAATGATAATTTTGGTTTTGATATAATGGAAAGGTCAGCTAGCAAAATACCATTTGAAAAACTTCTTTTATTTAAATACATACAGACAATCAATGTCTTTAGTGTATTTCACTGAAACCAAGGGCTTCATAGTAGAAATTGAAGTAAAGTACTTTAGAAATTGCAGGATGCTTATGACTATCTCTGACTATAACTCCCAGTTTAAATAACTATTATGAAATCTGAAATTACGATAAATCTTATTTCTTCTTATGTGTATGTTAATTTCAAAGTAAAAGCTGGGAATTTGCGGGGAAGAATATCACTGTCATGAAATACAACAATAACTAAAATTTTGAAGTGAAAGGTGACTCTATTTTCAGAATACTGAATGTGTAAAGCTCATTATAAGAGTCTAATCTAACATTATCTAAAAATAGTAGACTATGGGTTCTGTCCTACTGCCTCAGTTCCATATATGCTGAAGTCAGTGGTTAATAAGATTTCATAAGTTATTTAAGAGTAAACAAAAGTCACACTTTTTATATGCATGCCTGAAATGTTTTAATTGCATTGCCATTTAATTGTATTCCCCTTTTATTAATTGGTACCAATGTTTGAAACAATACCATACCTTTTTTCCACAGTCAAAACCACTATATCCACTTCTACAAGCACAAACATTTGGCTGGATACATCGGCCTCCAAACAGGCATTTTGGTTCACAAAGAGCTGTGACAAAACAACACATTTGTATTATTTCTAGACTCACACAGATGTAAATTAAAATGTTAAATCTGGTTTCCTTTGAATCACTTATGGCCCTCATCTTCATGTTTCCATATTTCCAGAAGCAAGTGCAAATGTGGCTTTTCTGTAAGGTCTTTGGGGTTAACTGTATTTAGCAATGTGACTTTTTATAATTCTATGACTTCTTAGCTTTGTATTCTTAGTTAATAATAACCATTGGATTTTAATATGACAATCATTCGAGATTATGCTGATACAGAAGAAGAGTAGGCTGATAAGTTTTATAATCAACTTCAATTTGAAATAAAAGACTCTGCAAGAAAGATGTGCTGTTTAGGATTGGAGACTGGAATACCAAAGTTGGAAATATGCAGTGATTCACTTAATAATAGTGGTTGTAAAGGTTGTAAAATGGGGCAAAATTCACTTAACAACTCTCTTACTTAGCAACAGAACTTTCAGTTTTGGTTGTAAGACAAGATCTGTAGTTGGATTTTATTGCTTAGGAAACCAAACTGAATCAGGTGAAAGACTTATTAATTTCTGCTCCTCCAATAATTTCTTCATAGCTAACACTATCTTCAAATGACTGAAACAACACCTCCATATATGGACATCACCAGATGAAGTACAACAAAACCAAATTGATTAAATTATTGGTAAAATGAAGTGGGAAGAGCCCAATTAGAGCTGACGTGCTGATTGTGAAACAAATTATGAATTGCTCATGTGCAATTCCAGGTTAAGCTAAGGAAGAAGGAAAATCAGTCAATTTCTCTGGTATGATCTTGAACATATACAATACCTGTTATTTTCAAGGAGAACCTCAGAAATCATTTGAAGTCCTGAACCTCACAGATAGAGAATCAAAAGAACTATGGAATGAACTTAGAGATGTCATTAGGGATGAATGTGACAACAAAAATTGCTAAAAAAACAAAAAAACAAAAACAAAACCAAAACAAAACAGAAGAAAGCAAACTGGATGTCAGAACAGAGCAGAAATTTCCAAGAGAAGCCAAAGCTAAGAAAGACAATCACCTTAGGAAAGAACTTAATAAAGAATCTGAGAAGATAAATTGTTCTCATTCAATGTGAGTCTCCTGGAGTGTTAGTCAAGGGTCCACTGTTATTAATGATGGCTACATGAATAATAATTCTACTTTGTGTAAGTGTGTGTTTGCAGAGAATAGTTTTTGTGAATAGAAATGCTTTATCTTATTATTTCATGTTTTCTTCTCCTTGTCATCCTATTATCTTGAGACAATGGTTTGAGTCATAAATGCTACTATGAGAAGGATACAAGTATTTGAGATGTGTTAGTTAAGAGTTCAGAATGACCTTTTCAGTTGCAGCAAATGCATAAAGGTATATTTGTAACAACTTAAAATGGGATAAATACAATAACAATGACAGCTATTTCTTTTTAAAATAGTCAGATTTCTGTGAAAAATGGAAGTCAGTGGAGTAGACAAGGATTGTGAAACTGAGCTGAACCTTTCTAATTACAGTAGCAACAAATGGATATGAACTATAGTAAAACTAGCTGCAGCTAAACTCTATTGACACTGATGGAAACCAATACTTTCCAAAGGTTTTTTTCTATTGTGAATTCTGCACTTTGCTGTCTTGCTGTATTAAAGTTCCATAAACCATCCTTTTTGCTGAAGTGTCCTTATTCTGTCTGAAACTGTAGCTGTCTGATTCAAGGAACTAACTGTCAAGATCTGGGAAACTGGTGGTATCCTGAGTAATTCTTTTTGGCAAAAGACTTTTATTTAAAATTTGCTCAAGTATATTAAAGAATTGCACTTTCAGCTGGTTGAACAATTATTCCTCTCCATGTTACTGACAGTTTTCTGGATTGCTTTTCCCCCTAAAAAATTAGATCCTACAAATTATGTGATCACTGTATAAGAATGCTTGTCTGGACTGCAATGATGCACAAATCAGGTTAAATCTGGATTGTGTCAGTGGAATTCATTATTTCACCAAAGTTAATTTATTTATATATATATATATATATATATATATATATATATATATATATATATATATATATATATATATATATATAAAGATAGATCTATCTGTCTGTCTATCTATCTATCTATCTATCTATCTATCTATCTATCTATCTATCTATCTTTGTATACAACTTTTTTAAATTGTTAGATGTATCTTTATCAAACAAGTAACTTTGTGTGAACTTTGGAATAGAGAATGATAGATCTTTGTCAGGCATTAATAGTTGCCAATCTGTGTGGTGCTAGAGCCACCTTTGATGGCTTATACTAAAACAGTGTGATAGAGATCTGAGAAAAATTCCTTTTTAGGCTCAATTCAAACTTGTAATGACTTTCTCTCCTGTTGTTGTACCTAAAATTATTTCATGCCATAAACCAAAGTGTTTTTTTACCAAGTACCTCAAGTAAATTATTTTTGTTAAGTTTACTTAACAAAAATAATGAGCTTACTTGTAAAACAATCTTTTTTAAAAAACACTTAAAAAAACAACCATTTTTTGATTAGTTGTTTCCCTGCTTTAATTGGGTTTCTTAGGCCATCGAATCCAACTATACTTTTCTCCTTGATATTTCTAATTTTGGCATTCCAATCTCCAACCCCAAACAGCAAATCTTGTTTGCATGTTCTGATGATTTCACAATGAACTTAATCAAATGTACAGATAGTCCTCAACTTACAACAATTCATTTAGTAAGGTGACCAACCATTCTCCTTTAGGGAGGACAGTCCTCCTTTTGTAAGTTCTGTCCTCCCTCAAAAAGTGTCCTCCTACATGTCCTCCTTTTCAATATTTGAAGACTAATCTGCAGGGCTTTTTCTTCTCATAGAATGCTCAGAACGGCGTTCTGGCATCTTTTTTTGATTTTTTTTTCAACTTTTGCATGAGCTGTGCTACTCCCGCTATTGGCTTTTGAAAGCCAATAGGAATTGCTGCTGAGCGTGCCAAAACACTCGGCTGGCAAACTTTGCACATGCAAGTTGTCTGTATTATTGTTGCAATGAATAAAATGTTTCTTTTATTTACGATATTTTTTTCTTCAATTTATTTGTGTCCTCCTTTTCATTGTAAAAAAGTTGGTCACCTTACATTTAGTGATGTTCAAAGTTACAACAGCACTGAAAAAAAGTGATTTATGACCACTTTTCACACTTGCTGCATCCCCATGGTCATGTGATCAAAATTCAGACACTTGGCAACTGGCTCATATTTATGACGGTCGCAGTGTCCCGGGCTCATGTAATCATCTTTTGTGACCTTCTAACAAGCAAAATCAATGGGGAAGCCAGATTCACTTAACAACTATGTTATTAATTTAACAACTGCAGTGATTTACTTAACAACTGTGGCAAGGAAGACTGAAAATGGGGCAAAATTCACTTAACTGTCTCACTTAACAAAAAAAACTACAGGACTACCTGTAATCTTTTACTGTGTTGAGCTTTCCCATGTTCATGCTTTCCATGTTCACACTCTTAATTCTATTTTTGCAGCTTCAAATTTTTCTGCTTGGCGACATCATCAGCAACCAAACTTTAATCTAGCCACATCATAAACCTCATTATGTAGCACCCTGAAAAGTCCTCAGGATATCCTCAGTAGTATCTTGGGTGTCACTTGACCCGAGCGGCCCATCACCCAGCATTATATTGCCAACAATTTTTGCATTTTCTATCATAAAGGTTTTTTTTTTTAGTAAATTACAGGAGTGGTTAACTATTGCCATCTCCCGCTCGGTATGAAATGATGCCTTTGCCATTGTCATTAAAATCATGTGCCTGCAGCATTGTCCTACATCACTGCTGTGCAATATAGATGCCTGTTTGCATTAGCAGAACAGCTGGGATGACCTTCACACCTTGAATCATCCTGCTGGGGTTATATACTCCAGGCATTCTTCACTTATCTCTCCCGATAGTGTCAGCTGCCTTGCGACAATGAGGTAGCACACAGGGTTTTGAGGGAAGGGGGAACTGAAATCGGGCAAGCATAACAACGTGATTTCATTTCAGCTTGACAGAGTGGAAGGTGGCATGGAGTTTGCTTGGATTTCATTAGAGTGTCTACAAGCGAACTGTTGCACCGTCTACCTCATACTTGAAAGGAACCTGTACAAACCTGCTCTGCTTCTGCACTAATAGATATTTTGATCTTAAAGCATCTATTTGGCTTCTCTGTCTCTGAACTGGAAAGGGAAAGCAAGTCATCATTTCTTAAAAAAAAAATTATTCTTTACATCAACATTTCTCAGAGCGACGCACAATAACAGCATGATCACAAAATAAAAGCGGCATAGACTGAAGGAGTAGTTGAAAGCAGCAGAAACTAAAAATATAAGGGATTGAAGTCTTAAAAACGGAAATGCTGCAGGAAATTGTTCTTTTTCCTACCACTGGGCCAAACAATCAGAAAGCACTTCAACTTGGATTGCACAGCTCTTCTGCTGCTACCCAAATAAGCACTCGAAACTTAAGAAGTGCTGCTGAAAATGAAAACCATCTATTCCATTTCAATCTCTAAGCTTGGAGTTGGAAAAGAGGGATGAAGGCTCATCAGTTTTGTTTCTCTGATTCTAAGGCCTTGCCAAATGTAGCATGTCTGTCGCATCTGCATGCTCCTTAGAGGAAGAGGAAAAAGGGGGAGGAGGAGGGGGGGAGAAGGAGGGGATAGCAGGAGCCAGCGAGGGGGATCTTTTTTTTTCTACTTTTGAGCCTGCCCAAAGAGGAATAATGGAATACACACTCTGTATTCTGCTCTAGCACTGCTTCTGATTGGCTGCAGCAAATTTCACAAGATCTGAACAAACAGGTAGGAAACCTCCATCACGATTTGTAATTTATTTCTTTTCTTGTTTTTTTCGCTTTAATGAATCTGCAGCAAAACCAAATTCCAGACTTTTCTGGTAAGCAATAAATTGCCCTCTTTTCTCTCATTGTGGAGTCCCATTAACGTATCT